GCTGTTGACAGAGTAACGTTAACGTTTGGTTAAAAAGGTTAAAACAATGCTTGTGTAGTTGTGTCGAATTGTATGCACTTAAGAACATAAGAACATAAGAACATAAGAACATAAGAACACTTGTAGGAGTTATATGGTACGTTTAAGTTACTCTGTCTGCTGCATATCCATAATTATAATTAAAGAATACTTACACTATAACGTAAATTAGAAGTGCAACGCAAAAAAACTGGATTTTTACGCCTATTTTGAATTTTACTCGAATACGAATACAAATACAAATACTTTTCCCCCCTCAACAAATACAAATACAGATACAAATACCGGCTGCTTTGCACACCCCTAGTGTGAACAGAGAGAAACCGGTACAGTCAAGTGAAGACTGAGAGCAACTGGGCTATATGGTTGTGTTACTGCCAGAAAACCTTCACTTTGTGGTGTTAGAAAAAAAGACTACTCCAGGTTAAATAACACAAACACTGGAGTATTCAGGACTGGGCGCAGGTCTTACTGACAGACAAAAGTGCATCCATGGGATGAGTTGGACCAAGAAGTTTGAAATGAGCATCTAGCAAATGAGAGAGAACTGTCTGCATGCCCGAAAGGGTGCTGGGAGGGTTTGGATACAAGTTATTTGCAAAATTTGCTGGCAAGGATGCTGTGAATCTGCTGCTGTGATAAAGGCAAGGGGTGGTTATTTTGACGAAATTCGTACTTTGGCAATCGCATTCATTATCATTATCATTTTTTATTTTATTTTTTTAAATCGGAGCCCAAACTTCTGGCCTGTTGTGTATAAATAATCTGCTTTATATCCGTAGTTTAAGATGGCCGATACTGTGACTATCTTCACCCAGCATAAGCATCACACACACGTTTTGGTAAGATGTTGTTTGAATCGCTGTTACTTTGTTTTCAAGCCGTCTGTTTTCCAGACTTCTCTCTACTGATCAGAGGAGGATTTGGAAGAAGAGTAATGTTATATTAGCAGATTATATGGCATTAAAAGATTGATGACAGATTGGGGTTAGTATTGCCACATTTTGCGAGTGTGTCGATGACCTCACAAACTCCAGAGCGGCATCCTCACCATGGGAAACATACAGACTGTACTCAGTGCAGACAGACAGGCCCTGTGTTAGGTACATCTCCGGACGGTCAGCTTCTGACACCCACATGGCGTGAAAAGTCCCCTCTGCTGGGTCAGCCCTTCTTTGGTCATAGTCCCCTACACCAGCCCAGTGGGATGCACATTGGCAGCTGTGTGTCAAGGCTGGAGACTTTAGCTCTGTGGGTAATTTCTCCATTTTTTTCCTTCTGCCTGCTCACATCCTCATGAAGCTGACTCCCAAATCTGTTTCTGGTACCACTTCTTCTTTGGGTAAATATTTGTGATGTCATCACCTGTGGGGGTGGGGGGTGTGGCCTCTGACACCCCAATGCCATTCTGACAAACACCTGTGGCTCCTCGATCATTTTTATCCATAAAGCATGATATTACTGTCTTACACGTGGCTGGTAAAATGTCGACAAGCAGGAGGTATGGACATTAAGAAAGGGAATGCATGACGAGACTACAAAAGGGTTAAACAATTGAGGCAGCAATAAAAAACTCCAGCTAAACCTTTTTATATGAATATTTTAAGATGACCAGTGCTGCTCTGCATTGATGTTCCAAACGAAAGCATCGCTCACACGTTTGAATCTCAGTTCAGAATTGTCCGGTTTCGAGATTGCCCACTACTGGTCAGAGTAGGATTTTAAAGAATAGGCAAAATAAGGTTGTTCGCAGAATTTTGTTGAAATGCACAGAAGGAAATAATTAGTTTAAATCTTATTGTCTAATTTTCATTATTTCGGGGACGAGAAATAAATATATTAGCGCTTCATGCGTCTGATTAATATTGGATAAATTGGGGAGGGGGGGGGGAGGATGTAACGGTGTTGTTTTGTTACGCCCACGCGGTATGAAGGTGTTTTGTTCACTGAATTATGTTTGAGGATATGTGTATATAAAATGTATTACAAATATAAAGTTGAAATGTCAGCCATGTCTTTTAAACTCAGTGACAGCACGGTGAATAATATATTCTTTCCACTAAATTAGGCCAATTTTGTTAAGTTTCTGACTCTGAAAATAAGCGTGTCATGTGTTTGATAGTGGAGGAGAAAGGGGGAGTGTGTGTGTGAGGGAGAGGGTGACGAGAGTAAATATGTGTGTGTGAGAGAGGAGGCTGTGTTTGTGGCTGTGCACAGGAAGAAGGTTGCATACTGTTTTCCTATATATCCTCCTATGACCCAAGGAAAAACGTGTCCTTCAACTTTAGGTTATTTGTCTTTGGAGGAAAAGATAGATGCAAAAATAAAATGTCCACTTCAATGGACATAAATGAATGGGTGGGGTCTCAGGGTGATATAGCTGACACAGATGTAGTTGTGCAATTTGTAGAGTCACGTAGACTTACGTTCATCCAAAAAAAAATACTCAGCATATGTTATGTCTATTTAACCACTTCCTATTCAATCGTCCTTTAACGCCAGGCAATCACAGTGGTATTGGATTAATGGAGAGATTATCCCTGTTTTGGATAATGACGGAGAATGAATATTTAAATAGAGCAGTCACGGCGCCGTGTGGTTGTTTATTGTAACTGCAGAGATGGTGAAAAGCGGACGAAATTGTACTGTACTACCCCGGCAGTGCTGGAGAGGGCAGTGTCGAGCGAAAAAAACTGCCTGTGTAAGTTATTTAGCTGTGCGTGCGTATCAAGGAATATCTTGCAGTCACCGTGGCTGTAAGTCCGTCTTTCATTCCATATCAGCATGTGCTGACAATATCTACGAATGGGTAGATACAATATAAAATACTAGCGACGAACAACTAGTATTGGAAAAGGCAACTCTAGTTTAAAGCAGTAAATGTTTTTTTTTCCTCTTTGGACGCAACCATTCTTCCGGTGAACAAGGGAACATGGTGTGCCCGAAATAACGCCGACATGCGCAGCTGGAACAAATTTTGTCAAAAGAGCGGCGATTGATTGGCAATAAAATTACTAAATACGTGATTATTGCTGTCTTTGAACTTGTGGCATATGCGCACTGTTGTGCATCCCGGCCGTGTCTCTCGTCCCCCCAGTGTTCGGCCAGTGGACGCGCCTGGAATAACCTCCGTGCGGACGGGCTGAAAGCGGAGGAGACAGCGCCAGCCAGCGGAACATGGCGGAGACCGTGCGCTCGCTGTTTGACTACCGGGAGCCTCCGACCCTGGATAGCGACGGGGAAGGGAGCAAGCCGCCGCCTCCGCTGGGGTGAGGGGGGCGACGACGCCGTGCGGAGCCACTGCGTGTCACACCGTTCTCTTACCGTGCGCGTGTGTATGTGTGTGTGTGTGTGTGCGCGCTTGTGCTTGTGCGTGACTGTGACTGTGCGTGTGTGTGTGAGAGAGGATGTTTGCGTCAGTACAGACATGCATGTCCGTCTGAGTGTGTATCTCTGTGTCTGTGTGTCATGCATGACATACGGCGCTTTCTCCGGATAGTTGGAGCGGAACGTAGTTTGTCTTTTCCTGACTAGCTGGATGTATTTGTTAAGACTTTTAACTGATAGATGATACAGCACTAAACCGGCCCAATAACTGTAATATATTTAACAGAGTGACTGGCTTTTTACGGTTCATACAGTGCGCTCTGTGTCTGTGTGTGTGTGTGTGTGTGTGTGTGTGTGTGTGTGTGTGTGTGTGTGTGTG